TTTTTTTAAATAAAATATTAATCAGTATAAAATATACACATATAAAAGTATAAATAAATCGAGTAACAAATTATTATTACAAAATTTCCAAATTTTTTTTTTTTTATAAATAAAATATAGTTTATTATAATTCTTTTTAATATAGAAAAAACATGCGCAATTTGGCAACGGTCAAAAACTTGGCCATTACAAATAAATTATGTCAAAAAAAATATCATACCTTAATCAAAAATAATCATTATTATTATTATTCATATTTAAATGTATGAAAAAAAAAAAACAACTGTAAAATTTTTTTTTTTTATTCTGGCACACACTTATTATTTAAACTAGATGATTTTATATAATAATAATAATAATATTGAAATGAAAACGCTATGATAAAAGTTGGTTGGTACGTAAAACACAGCACACACACACACACGAACTACCTGAGAAACCGGCGTACAGGTACAGGCTATGATGATATTGCGTTACAGTCTTATTATGACCGACCGTCTGATTTCACGTTTCAGGAACAACTGACTAACAATGTTTTAATGGGAAAACGGTACAAATATGTTTTTAATATTAATATTAAAAAAAAAATTTTTTTGCGTAAAAATTTTTTCTGCACCCACTGCAACTTTTAAAAATTGTCTGTTTGTTTGTGTGTTTGTATGTTAGATTTTAATAATTAGTGTTAATATCAAAAAAAATATGGTTAAAAGCTTTGTAAAATTATTTATATGCAAAATAATTTAAATATTATAAAAGAATATAAAAAAAAAACCTTAAACCAAAATATTCTGTAACAAATAAAAAATTTATTGCAATGAAATCAGTTAATGATTTAACACAAAATAATTTAAATTAAATTTGTTTTATTAACTAGAACAAAAAATTTGCCCTAAAAAAAAAAATTTTTTTAAATAAAAAATGTAAATTTTATCCTAAATTTATTTAACAAATATTTTTGCATACCGTTTAAAAGTAAATATTGTTTTTTTTTTTTTTTTTTGTTAAAAAATTGTTGATTTAACCTAATTTTATTAAACAATAAGAGAGAGACATTGATCTCTTAAACTAATTACACTAATTATATTATTATTATTCATAGTACTAAATTTTTTATTAATGAGAACAATTATGATACAGTAATTATCTAAAAAACTCTCTGAAAAATTAACTAATTTTTAAAAATAATTTTTTATTTTAAATATATCTGTAAATTTTTTTTACTTAAATACTGTTAAAATTTTAACTGATAATAATTCATCGGTTTAAGCTAATGATATCACAAAAAAATTTTTTTTTTTTTTTGAAATTCAATTATGATTATTTTATTTCAACTATAATTATTTTTATATTTATCTGATGCAAAATAAAAACTTAATTATCATATTTATTTATTTTTTTAATTACAGGAACAGTTTATAAAAGGTAAATAAATTAAAATAAAAAAATTTATTTTTTTTTTTTTAAATCATTTTATATTGTTTACATTAATATACATTTTAAATTTTAAATTTCGTGTCAATAGTTTACCGCCAAAAGTACGCCATTGGCGGAATTTTTTTAGGTTGGTATCTTGTATCGTTTAGTGCGCATGCTTAATAACGATCAAATGATAAAAAAATTTTGTTCGGATCGGAGTGATGTTCATTAAATTTTTTTTTTTTTTATTAATTTATAGTTTTTTATTTTTTTATTAATCTTAAATTAATAAATATTAATTAATCGAATCGAGTAAAAATATTGCATCGGTAAATATTTTTCATTTAAATAAATTAAATTTGTTTTTTTTAAATGCATGTCTAATTTTGATCATTTTTTTTCATAATTTAAAATTTTTAATACTAATAATTTTTAATTTATTATTTTTATATAATTTTTTTTTACATTTTTACATTTTTTATTTTTTTAATTTTAATTGAAAGGAATGATAATTTGATGGTTATTATTTAATTTAATTGCAAACAATTACTTTGAAAACATTTTATTAATACTCAATTTTTAAGAAGCCCCTTTTTTTAAACAATATAAAATATTTTCAATTTGGCACTATATATTTTTAAATTTAATATATATTTTCTGTCTCAACTTTAAATTTTTTTTAAAGTCAATCAAGAACTAATTTGAATTATTTAAATTATTAATATTTATTATCAATTTTCAACTAAATAAAAATATTTTTAAGAGAAATTAAACATATTTTTTTAAAAGTATTTTTCTTTAAAATTTTTTCGTGATTTCTATAAGAAATGAATTTTTTTTATTTTTAAGAAATTAAAGAAATAATTAGAAAAAGTTATACTGAAAACAGTTTTACATCTTTTAAAGCGATAATAGAATAAATGAAATTTTAAAAGTTATGAAGAGCACTGTGTTCCTAAAAGAATTTCTTTTTACCTAGTAAGTTTATTTCTATATTTAATAATGCTTTAAAAAAATTTTTTTTTTTTCCAGATTGCCTGATTCATCGACTCATCGATTCATCGATTTAAATTAAAGTTAAATAATAATTCCATTATTATATTTTATATGTGCAGCTAAGAAAAGTTGGATCAACCGAGACTACTTTTGCAGTTAAAAATGCATGCATACAAAAAAGTATGTTTTGAAGAGAGGCACATTCAATTTCCTACAAAAATAAAAAAATTTCATCAGTATTTCTTTAATTTTAATTTTGTTACACTCGTTCAAATTAAATGAAACAAATTTTAAAGGTAAGTCATTAAAAAATACCTTTGTATCTATAATTTTTGTATCAGAATCTTGAAAGTGTAATTTTAATCTACAATTCCCATCGTCAGAGCTTCCCTTCAATTGTGAAAATTTATAACTCCATAATAATGCTTTTAATTCTATGTCTCTTAAAACGAAACCATAATTCCAATCTAATGTTAACCCACATTGTCGACCAGCCCATTTTACAGTGAATGTTTTGTGCTAATCAATAAATACACTTTTAGTATAGTGGTAATTTTAGAGATGTGTTCGATGAAAATAAAAAAACAAAATTTAAAATTTTTCTCACTCTTATTTTAGATATTGTGGAGCAGACTGCAGCATGCCAAGCAGTTTCTATTCTAAGTAATTCTTGTCTTGTTTCAACTGATAAATATTTAACTTCTTGACCACAAGTTTGAATAATGAAACAATGCTGCCTTTCATCTTTGTGCTCTGATTCTTTCAAAACTCTAAACATAGTTTGATACACTTTAAATGCAATTCCACATTGAAGCCAATCAATCACATTCAGCTAAAACCAAGTTCAGAGAATTTGAAAAACATGTTTAAAAAAAAAAAGAAAAACTAAAATTAAAAATTAATAAGGTAAAAATATTATATCTATTTTGTTTTCGAATTGTAGTTATATCTAAATACAATAGATGGCAGTATAAATTTTGTTTCCAGTTGTAACCGTTACAACAAGAAGGGGGAAAAAAAAAATGGTAAAACAGAACTTACGGGAGGTGATTCAAATATTAAAATGTCCATTCCTTTAAGCGTCAGAAATTTTGGTTTATAAGTTTGTCGTGTTAAAGAACCGTCTGTTATTGCTTCGTTTACCCAACCCATATATTCTATGCGTTCCGTGCACGGAAAGTTACGGTTGTACAATTTCATCTAAAATGAACATCGTTTAAATTAAAACAATGTCGGTGAGATAAACTCACGATTTTTATTGTTTTTAAAAGGCAAAAAGAAAATGGTCCATTTACCTGCAAATGAGTTAGTCCTACAATATTATCCGTTATGTATTTTAACCATCTGTATAAATTTGCAGAATCGGAACAATGTATGATTCCGGTAGATGTACCACTTAGCCCTCTGACTTCAAACGCGTTTGGTCTTAACTTATCGGTCCCAAATATATATCTTGTTACGTATGCCATCATTAGAGGTACGGTGACAACATCTATATATCTCATGTTAAAAATAGATTCTGCACTTTCTGCATATTCTTCAATTCGTTGTTCTTCCACAACATGATTTAAATAATTTTCTTTCGAACCTTAAATTAATTTAATTTACATTTAATAATTTTGCTCAATTATTTACAGATATCTACCTGAAAAGGATTCAATCAATAAAACGTACTCGCGTGTTGTAAAAATGGAGTCGCAGCTTTATAATGCTTGACGTAAAGTGTCACAACGTCGCCGGCAGTTTGTAAAATTTCAAGTGCTTCATCGTGAGGACATATTGTTAAAAATTCATTGTTCACTAAGAAAAAATTAATAAAATGTAAGGGAAAAGATAAACCAAAACGTCACGTGATATGAAACATTTTGAAAAGGTAAGAAATTTCTTATTATTTTTTTTTTTAAAAAAAAAACCTTTTATAATTGCATCTCCGACAAACAATTCTCCCGTTTCGTCTGCTGCTTGTTTCGGATAAATTTTCGATATTAATATTGGTAATTTATGTTCTGATCCTCCTTTTATACTTATACCCAATCCCGTATCTTTTCGTCGTTTTATTTTAACCGTTCTCTCCTAATAATAATAATAATAATAATAATAATAACAATTTAAATAACAACACGTTAAATTTTAAAATGAATTTAATAAATTGATAATAATAATAATAATAATAATAATTACTCTCGAGTCGATCGGTGGAGTTTTTACAAAACATTCAAATTGTTCTTTTTGCTCGTTTTGAAGCTTTAATAATTCTGTCGTTAAACATAATCTCATTGACAAAGGTTTACATTTTCCATCACTTACGCTAACTCTTCCAATTCTTATCTATAATTAAATAATAATAATAATAATAATAATAATAATAATAAATAATTATTGATATTAAACGTGACATACAATAACAAACATTTAAATTTAAAAAAAACTTTTCTTAGTTTTTCTATACATAATTTTAATTATCAAACGATTAATTGATAACACATAATTGATAACAAATTTATTAATAATACATAATTAATTAATTAATTAATTGATTAATTTTTGTCAACTTACCTTGGGTGATGAAGATATTTTATGATTGACCATTATGTTAAATTAATTAATTTATTTATTTATTTAACAACGTACATTTTTTTTCTTTCGAATGAAAATGTATATAAACAAATATTTAAAACAATGATGATGATGATGATGATAACATTAAAAAAAAAATTCAAATTAATTTTAGTTTTATAAAACCGTTAAATAATATAGAGTGCGTGTGTGTGTGTGTGTGTGTGTGTTCTATATAAATTGTATGTGCGCGTTTAATTTTTTAATAAAAAAAATTTTAATTCATGTTATACACACGCACACGCACACACACACACACACACTGGATAAAAATAACCAATAAACACCCTCACTTTATTTAAAAAATTTTAATACGTTAATTAATAATTTAATTTATAAAATAAATAATAATTTTATTTTAAAAAAAAAAATAAAAACAACCGCAGAATTAAAAGTTCCGGCGCACTCGGGTTTTGTGTTTTTAGGTCACCGTAAATCGAAAATTTTCGAGCATGCGGCCAATTGATTTTCTTTTCCATTTTTTTTTTCTTCTTTTATTTATTATTATTATTATTTATTTATTTATTTATTTATTATATAAATTAAAATTTATTTATTTAATTTTTTTTTTAATTAAATAATTATAAACTTGTAGGAATTTCAATAGGTATCAAAATAATAATGATGATGTTGATGAAAACATGCGCGTTAAAATTTTTAATTTTAATTAACGGATATTTATTTATTTATTTATTTAAATTAAAATTAATAATAATAATAATAATGATAATAATTTTTACGTTTGTTAGTTGTTTGTTGTTAAAAAAAAAAAAAAGAGGGGGGGGGCTGTAATTTTTTTTTTTTTTTTTTTGAAATGGTAAGATGGCAAAAACTGTGGGAAAGAGATATGAAGGGTAGTCTCATGAGAGACGTGTGCCACCTCATACCATTTATCATGGGTGCCACGCTTCCGACCGTATGACCATTGTATTATTATTATTTTGAATTTAATGTTTTTTTCCATTTTCTTCTTTCCTCTTTTCCTCTTTCCTCCTTTTTTTTTCCTTTTTTTTTTTTTTTTTTCATTTTGTAAATCAATAAGAATTTACTTAAAGAAAAATAATAATAATAATGATGAAAAATGGCTGCTAAAACCCTTTTTGTTATATTATTAAAAAAAAATCTTTATTAAAAAAAAAAAAAAAAAAAAACAAATTTATTCGTTTAATAAATAATATGAGTATTTATTATTATTATTATTATTATTATTATGTATGATAAGATAATTTTTCACGAAATCAATACATCGTAAAAATTGTTTAAATCACCTGAAAAATAATAATAATAATAATAATAATTGATAAATTTTTTAACGTGTTCAGGATAGTTTTTTTTTTTTTTTTTTGATTAATCGATTGTTTTGTTTTAAAAAAAAAATAATGATAATAATATATATAAAAAAAAAGTATTTATAGTTTTAAGAGGGCAAACGTGTACCGATACAACCCCCTGTTTGTTATATGAGGGTGGGTTGTGGGAATGAAAACTAAAAATGGATCACAAGCTAACTTATCAATAATAAGGGATTAAATCATTTTTTCTTTTTTTTTTCTACCCTCCGTGCAAAAATGTAATAAGTACATTTTAAAAATTAATTATGGGGATGTAGGTTGTGACCTTTTTACAACTAATAATTATTATTACTATCAACTTGATAATAAAATAAATAATAATATTAATAATAATAAATTGTTTAATATAATGCAAGTTTTTTTAAAAATGAATTTAGGCATATAAATTTTTTTTTTTTTTTTTTTTTTTAAAAAAGGAAAATTCAAATACTTAATCGAGATGATAAAAATAAATTAAAATTTTTTTTTAAATTTAATATAAATTTGTAAAAAAAAAAAAAAAAAAAAAAAGAAAATTTAATAATAATAATTGTGGCACACGTCAAAGCAGTACGGCGTAAATTTAATTATTTATTTTTATTTATTTATTTTTTTTTAACCCTTTGGATTCCCATAAGTAACTTTTTTTTTTTTCTTTTTTAGTTTGCGGTTAGCCGACTATAATTTAAATTATTAACCAAAAGTTAAGTGTGAAAGAAAAAAAAAACTTGTGAGAAAAAAGGCTCCTTTTTTTGAATTTAAAACTCCGGCGCCATTCATTGGAATAAAATAAGCGTAACATTTTGAATGGACACGTTTTCGTCGTAAAAGGTAAACATCAGCTGTTTATTCGGAGCCATACATTCGTCCGATGAAAATATTCATTTAAATTTATATTGATATACCCTTTGCATAAGTTAAACGTGGGCGTAATGTGAACGATTCAATCGGAGCGTGGCAGCAGTATGTGTGCCTGTGGTCGTGCAGTAGTTTGAACGGTTGTCTTCATTCAACGAACTCACGTTCGACCGGTTGTCGAAGATGAGTAACAAGATGTAAGAAACGTGAAGTCGTATGTTAAGACGTGTGTCAAACACTTGTTGATAACTTCCGGAATTTTCCGCAGGAAAATAATAATTAAGTGCACACACACACACACACACTTTGCGATTGTGAAAGTTAATTTTTAATGAAAAAATTATTGTGAATTTTTTTTTGAAATAGTTAAAAGAAATGGCCGATGGACATAATTTATGGGCTAGCAGCGGTTATACCGTTAATAATCCAGCAGCGTGGGCTCCACCTCCCGTCATACCTTCGGGTTCTTTACAAACTCAAAGGTACGATCAAACACCGAGGCCCATTAAAAGACACATGAGCGAAAGTGACGATTGCGAAGATGTTTTTAGCGAAGAATCTTCCAAAGAAAGGTAAGTAAATGATAAACGTTAAGGAGCCATTTTGAAATAATTTAAACATCGGTTAACGGTTTTTTTTTTAAAATGTTAGTTTATTAATAGAAGAATAACGATTGTTAATTAATTGCATTGTTTACTATGTTTAATTAGAATAATTATAATCGATTGATTTTTATGTTTTTTTTTTTTTTTATAAAAAAAATTAATTTTACATTAAATTTGTTAATTGTTTTCATGTTTCTTACGATAAATGCGACTTTTTATGTTTTTCTTTTTCAAAATTTACATAATATTTTATGAAAATATAATCAATCATGGCGTATAGCGCGTATTTTTTGTTAGCGACATGTTTGTCTATTATTTTTTTTTGTATTCAAAATATAAATTATTTGTTTATTATCATATAAGGATTTATCAATATTAAATAATATTCTGTCTTTGTTAAGTTAAAATTATTATGAATATTTTAGGTGTTCGAGTCCTAGCGAGGATTGTCAAATGGGATTTTCAAGGAAAAAAAGAAGAGGAATAATTGAAAAAAGACGAAGGGATAGAATAAATTCAAGTCTTTCAGAATTGAGACGTCTCGTACCGACAGCATTTGAAAAACAAGGTTCGGCCAAATTGGAAAAAGCCGAAATACTCCAAATGACAGTTGATCATCTTAAAAATCTTCATGCCAAAGGTAAGAAACCCAAAATCATCTTTTTTAGCCATTTCCGGTCATGTGACATCCGGCTTTGTTTCATTCATTCATTCATTTTTTTTTATGTCTTTAGGATTGGATGCTTTGGCCTACGATCCTCATAAATTTGCCATGGACTATCACAGTATAGGTTTTAGAGAGTGTGCAGCAGAAGTTGCTAGATATCTAGTCACGGTTGAAGGAATGGATATTCAAGATCCTTTGAGGTTAAGATTAATGTCACACCTTCAGTGTTTTGCAGCTCAAAGAGAACTTGCCTCGAAACAAGCTTCCACAGCTTGGAATTACAATTCGTACAGTGGCATACACGATTATACTCCGACTAATTCTTACGAGGTATTTATTACGTTCCATTTCCCTTGCCCCCCACCCCCACCCCCCGATTCGGAAACGGTCAAAAAAAAAAAATTTTTTTTATTTAAAGATGTCGTCGTCGACGGCGCACCACCAAGCCATAACTCCTCATCACGTGCCCACAATATCATCAACTCCGGTTTCGCACGTTTCCAACACTCCGATAACAACACGACAACAACCGACATCCATTCAACAATCGGATAATCGTTTGCAACCGACAGAATCATCTGAAACCATGGTACGACACCATACGGAAAACATGAGCCCAGATCGTCACCTTCAACATTCCGAAACGAATAGGCAAATACAAAACAATATACAAACGACAAACTATCAAAATCCATATCCGGGAGGATTTTCGCAACAAGGTTACAACACTTCCGGACAGGTAAAACCTTATCGTCCTTGGGGTGCAGAAGTTGCTTATTAAAAAACGTCACGAAAAAGCCTTAAAAAAAAAAAAAAAAAAAAAAGAAAACTAATCAAATTTCGATCTCCATTTTAACTTATTTTGTTACCTATTAATTACTCATCGCGTAAACTTTATTATTATTATTATTATTATTATTTGTCTTTCTTAAATTATTAAAAATCACAATAATAAGTTTAATGAATAAATATATATATTTTTTTTTTTTAAAAATAGTTTAATAAATTTAATGAAATATAATATATTTTATATAATATAAAAAAAATAATAATAATAATTTCTAGTCTTTAATATTTCTAAGTGTGATAATTATTAAATTAAAATAATTTTTTATATACATAAATTTTTTTTATATAAAATAAATTATTTTTTTGTACAATTTTGTATATTATTTGTTTATAACAAAAAAAGAAAATTTTTTTGCATATCGTTATTATTGATAAATTTAAATATGGCGGACTCGTACCTCATTTAAACTTTATTGTTATACAATAAGAGAAAAACGTGCGCAATTCACAAAGTTTTTGCATATATTTAAATTTTTCTTTTTTTTTTTTTTTGTATTGTTTTCGGATTATATTCGTTAAAAGTAAAAAAAAAATGGCTTTAAAATTGCAAATGTTTTTACATTTTATTTAAATATTTAAAAAATGTATAAGAAAACCGGTTGTTTTATCCTTTTTAATGATGGGATAGGATAGGATAGGATAGGAGAACGTAGTAGTGTGTAAAAATAATAATAAAGTCACGTGGTTGTTTAAAATCCCCCACCCCCTCCTACCCGCCCCGCCCCTTCCTTCCCCTTCCCTTCCCTTCCCATCACTCATTCATAAGTAAAAAAACTTGTTGATCAGCTGATCGACCGGTGCCCCTTTCGTGCTTAGAATAAAATGCCAACAAATTGGCATCTGGGGGTAAGAAATCGTGAGAATTTGGGGTGGCTAACCGTCTCACACATACAAGGGGGAGGCGTGTGTGCGTGTGTGCGTGCGTAAGAGGGGTTAAAACTAGCATGAGTATTAGTAAACTCTCTCTCTCTCTCTCTCTCTCCCCTCTTTTATTATTATCTTTGTTTTCGTTTGTTTTTTTTTTTTTTTAATCGAATAACGGGAATAATTTTTTCACCTGTTTTTCTTTTTTCCTTATCGATACAAATCAATAAAAAATCGATGTGAAATGATAATAATAATAAACTAATACATTTTTTTTAATATAAATTTATTTCAATTAAAATATTTACAGAGTTTTTGGGGAAAAAAAAAAAAAATTTTTTTAATTTTAACTTAAAAATTTTTCTATTTGTTTATTAATGTCGTTTTCTAAAATTTCATAATCGTTCAAATTATTATTATTATTATTATTATTTATTATTGATCTTTCTCCTCCTCCTTCTCCTCCTTCATCTTCTTCTTCTTCGAATGATCTCGAATTAAAATGCCAAAGTTTTAATGATTGTATGACGTCGTCGTAGGTATTCATAGGCTGTTTTTTCCCTTCCTTTTCCCGTAAATCATTATCATTATTATTCGAATAATGTTTATCGTGATTTTCTTCATGGGTTTTACAACAATTTTCAATGACTTTTAAATTTTCATAACTCGGTTCGATAACTTTATAATTTGATTTTGTTAATAGGAAATCGTAGTCGGAATCATCGAAATTTTTATATTTTTGAAAATCGTACATTAAAGATTCGTAACTATGTACGGTATCATCATCATCATTATTATATTCTTCTCCTTCCCCACCTCTTCCTCCACGTGTTAAACTTTCGAAAAATTCATTTTTAATATTATCATTATGAATTTTAATAAAATTTTCAACCGTTCTTTTACATCCTCCGGGTAAATCTCCAGCCGATTTACTTCTTTTTCTTTTTAATTTTATTTCCGGTTTCCGGTAAATGCATTTTAAATCATCGCAAGAACTTTCCGACAGTGACAAATCGCATGCAGAATCCGATGAAACGATTGAAAATTTCGAATATGAATTATTATTATTATTTAATAATTTACCCCAATGGCATTCTCTGCAACAAAATTCATTTCTTTTGTTTTTTCCTCGTAAATTTTTTTTCCTCGTTAAAAAACCCCCACGAATATTATTATTATTATTATTATTTTCTTTAGAAAAATTAAAATTTATGTGATACGGTGATGATGAATGTATAAAAAATCCATCGTCGTCGTAAATCGGATATGATGATAATGATGATACACTTTTCAATATGCAATTTTTCCTTTTTTTTTTCGTCAATGTCGCCTCCCCATATTCGATTTCATTTTTATTAACTTTACCAAAAATTTTCCTACCTATCGATGATAAAAAATTTTTTAATCCTTTTCCGGTTATTTTATTTTTTTCTTTTTTAATAAAAAAATTCATTTCATTTCGTAATACCGACATTAAATGATAATAATAATAATAATAATAATTAACTCGCACACCAAAAAAAAATTTTCTTTTTTTCGAATGTTCACCAACCGATAGAAATTTTTCAAATGTGTGGCTAAGCGCACGCGAACAACACTAAGAACGATAACTAAATAATAATGATGATGATGATGATGATGATGATATTCGAGGGTTAAAGAATAATATGGCGGACACATATAGAAAGTAGAAAAAAAAAAAAAAAAACTTTCATCTCTTCTTCCCCTTATCAATAAAAATTTACAATTTAATTATAATCCCGTGGATTTAAATTGTTAAGAGTCGTACGTCGAGATTAACACTTGTGGGATTTCCCCCCCCCTCCCCCCCCCCTCCTTCCCCCCTCCTCCTTATTTTTTCAGATTCGTTTTATGTATTAGAACCAGGATTTTTTTAAACATTTATTATTATTATTATTATTATTTATAATAATTAATAAATAAAATATAATTCTCATTGAAATTCTTCTTTATCATTATTTTAAAAAAAATTTATTTATTTATTTATATTTAAAATAAATATTTACTGAGTACATTTTAATAATAATGATAATAATAATAATTTAATAACTATCTTATTTTTAATAAATTTAACAATGAACTTCTTATTTTTTTCCACAAAAGTAAAAGTAATTAATTATTATGTAATTATTCAAAAAAAAAAAAAATTTTCTTTCCTTTTTTTCTTATATATAAAATGATTTAATTTGTCTTCCTGTTAATTGTAATAAGTATCATCATTATCATCATCATCATCATCATCATCATCATTAACATCATCATCGTGATAAACAAAAGAAGGAAAAGTTTTTTTTTTTTTTTTTTTTTTTAAAACAACAAATAATAATAAAATGGAGTGAAAATTTTATTTTAATTTATTTTTGGAAATATTTTTTTCCCATGGAGAAAGAGAGAGTGGGGGGGGAAGAGAGAGAGAGAGAGAGAAATTTAAAATAAATTATTTAATTTATTATCTATTATGATGATGAAATTGTACACAAATAAATAATATACAAAATTTTTCTTTAATGATTTAAAATAATAACAAAGAAATACTAAATAAATATTAGATTAATAAATAAATAAATAAATAAATATGTAGACATACGGCTTAATTTATAACAATCCAACAAAAAAAATGGTTTTTTTTTTAATAAATAAATAAATAAATAATAATTGGTGATTGATTGGAAATCGTAGGGACCTTTCAATTTTTAAATCATTAATCATTACTGGTCGTATGCAGTTTACTAATCATATTATAAAAAACCAGCGAAAAAATCCCTCCCCTTCCCCTCCCTTCTGCTCCTTCCTTTTACCCCCTCTTCCTCCCTCCCTCCCTCTCCCATCAGGTTAATATTATATAATATTTAAATTTTATTAATTAAAAAAAATTTTTTTTTTTTTGCTTTCATAATGTTCATATTTGTTCATACGCCATTTTTTTTTTTTTTTTTTTTTACTAGTCTTCGTTTAAAATAAGAAAAAAAAAAGTCAAATCACTATGAATTCCATAGAGAATTTAAATCGTTCGATTCATCGTTTCATTTATATATATATATTTTAAAATTTAAAACGTCAATGATTGATGAATTTCTTTTTTTTTTTTCTTTAAATAAAACAATCACCCTTATTGAAAATAGATTAATCATTGTCGATTTGTATTAGGTCCCTTTCCCTCCCCCTCCCTCCCTCCCCCCTACCTCCCTGGTACAAATTCGATTAAAATATATAAATAATTTTTATAATTTTTGATATTTGTAAAAATGGCTCAAGAGTATTTTTTTTTTTTTTTTTTTTTTGAATTCATGTTTTGAATCGTTTTTGATTAGTCACCGTGTCAAAAGTTTTTAAGGGATGAAATAATTGGTTGAATGTATAACAATTGTAATAAAAAAACATTTCTAATGTCAAAAAATATTTTAAATGATTTCTTCGTTTGTCAAAATTTTATTTTAAATGTGTCAACCACACGTGTTATTAAAAAACTTTAAAAGAAATCATAATGAACTCTTACTACTACTACTACCCTTCCACCATCATCACCCTTAGAAAGGGTTACTTTTAAAAAAAATTTTCACCATTTTTTTTTTTTTTTATTCTTTTTTAATTGTTCAAGTTTTTATTACTTAACACTTAATAAAAAATTATTTATTATGTTTTTTTTTTTTTTTTGGAAAATATTGATTATTATAATCCATAGAGAATGGATTAATGTATATATATCCTCTATGGTGGAGTTTTAATCACTCCCTCTTATTTAATCGGATACGTCATAAATAATGTTTTGGTCCATTTGATTCGTGACCACTGGTCATCATCATCTTAAGCATAATCATTCAGTGAATACTCTTGGGAATTAATTTTAATTACAATAAACACTTAAACAATTTTCTTTTCTTTTTTTTTTATGTGAATTGTTTTGACAAATGTTATATACAAATCAATTTTTTTTTCTTTTGGCTTTCCACGTGTAAGGATGGAATCGAAGAAACAAAGTGACACGTTTTGAATATTTTTTTTTAGTAAAGAAAAAAAAAAGTTTGTTTCAATTAACGACATAAGTCAAAAGAATAAAATAACAATGGTTTTATAACAACTTGACCTAAAACACACAATACCTCATAAATTTCCTCTAACAAAATGGACATTGGTCATTTCTTTTATGTTTTTGTGCTCGAGGGAAATACAACATTCAATTTTCATTGCACTGTTGTTTCACTTTTTCTCCTGAGACTTTGATCTCATCATTATAATAATATTTTTTTAAATAACGCACCTTTTTTCTTATTTTACTTTTTTTTTGTGTATTTAAAAAATTTAAAAATAATCGAACGGAAAAAAAAAATGGCGTCATCAAACAATCACAAATCTACTTTTCATTAGGTGTTAACAAGTTACTACAATTATTGCGTAATTTTTTTAAAACATTCACTGATACGTAACAAATGTATAAAAAAAATTGATAATAAAATTTCTATTCAAAAAAAAAGAAGTTTTAATTAAAGTTTTAAAAATAAACGTTATTTTTCCTCATATTTTTTTGTAACGAATTTTTTTTTTGAAAAATTAAAATTACGTTAATTAAAAATAGTACGATATTTATCCGCTATGATAATCTGGCAGCACTATATGATAATTTATTTGACAAATGTAATATGATTAAGTAAAGTGGCATGATATGGTTTTTTGTATGATTAAAACATAAAATTATACTTTTTTACTTTATGTAAATTATTTTTATTTTTACCTTTATTTTTTTTTACAAATTATGACAACTATGAATGTTTTAAAATTATTTAAGAATCAATTTTCTTTAGGTTTTGGAAATTCTCTTAAACTTTATTCTGTAAGATTATAATAATCATATGTTTTTTTTTTTTTTTATGTATGAATTTATGTAAATGATTATAAATTCTTTTTTTTTTTTAGACTACCAGGTATCCCAGAAAAGTTAAAATTGTAGAAGTTGGTCCCCGAGATGGATTACAAAATGAACCAAATATTGTTAAAACAGATGTTAAATTAAAACTCATCGATGAATTAGCATCTGCAGGACTTCAAACTGTTGAAGCCACTAGGTAAAATGATTTAAATTGTTTTTAAATTATTTTTACTTTTTTTTAAGATAATAATTTGGTTTCAGCTTTGTTTCACCTAAATGGGTTCCTCAAATGGCTGATCATAGCGAGATAATGAAAAATCTTAAAAAAAAGAAAAATGTTAGGTATCCAGTTTTAGTACCTAATTTGAAAGGATTAGAATCTGCTGTGAGTTTAGATTTATTATTATATATATATATATATTCTACACATTCAGATATAAATGTATATAAGCAATTATCAATCGATTTGGCAGATTGAAGCAGGTGTAGAAGAAGTAGCCGTTTTTACAGCAGCATCAGAGGCTTTTACAAAAAAAAATACTAATTGTACCATAAAAGAAAGTTTAGATAGAATTTCTAAAATAACAAATCTTGCTCAATCTGAGAATATTAAATTAAGGGGATATGTTAGTTGTATAGTTGGATGTCCATATCAAGGAAAAATTGATCCTTCTCAAGTCATTCCTGTAAGTATTAATTTTAAAATTATTTTTAAATGTGATCTCATTTTGAATTATTATTTTTCAAGGTTTTTTCTTTTATAAATTTTACTAAATAATAAACATTTTTGTTTCAGGTTGTAACTGCTCTGGATCAACTTGGATGTTATGAAATTTCATTGGGAGATACAATCGGAGTTGGGACTCCAGGGAGTATAAATAATCTCATGAAAGAAATTGTTAAAGTTATATCAACTGACAGATTAGCTATTCATTGCCATGACACATTCGGACAAGCTCTTGCTAATGTTTTAACTGCAATGGAGGTACTTTTAATAAAAATTAAATTAAATCAAAACAAAACCAAATATTACAATTATGTTATTTTTTAGTATGGAGTCTCAGTTGTCGACTCCAGCATAGCAGGATTGGGTGGTTGTCCTTATGCAGAAGGAGCTTCTGGTAATTTAGCAACTGAAGATATTGTTTACATGTTGCATGGTATGAACATAGAAACAGGTGTAAATTTAGAAAAATTAGTTAATGTCGGAAGATGGATTTCAAGCGAACTGAATCGTAAAAACAATTCCAAAGTCGGTTTAGCTTTTAAAACACCACAATCATAAAAAATATTAATTTTTTTTTAATAGGTAAAAAAAATAAAATTATTTTTTAATTAGTTTTTATTTTTTTTGCTTTCTTAGTTTGATATTATTTTTAAAATACTTTCATTCCTTTAATCAAAGAAAATTTTTTTTTTTATTTAATTTTCTACTAAGTAGCTTATTTATTTATTTGAACAGTAGCTTATTATTAAATCTGACCTATTTTCCTGTAGCAGAATGAATAGTAATCACCAAATTTTTTTTATTTTCTTAAAAATTTTGCTTTGTTTATTTTGTTGTAAATTCTTATTTAACGACAGTAGTTGTTCCCCCTCCCCCCGCAATAATCATCATACCCGTGTTTGTTTTTGAAATTTTGTGAGTAGTTGTTAAATATTTTTGCATGCTAAACTAATTCTAAATGTGTTTTGCAATTAGATAAATTTTAAAAATAATCATTAATCGTTTCAAGTGTTTTTTTTTTTTTTTTTATTAATAGTTTATGTACTAAAAAAAATTTATCGATAAAAATTTTATTATTATTTTTTTTTAAAGCGATTCGATTGGTTGCATTAAAAGAGTGAACATGTGTATGTTGCAAAAGTTTATATACACTTACCTAGTTTATACCTAAAGCATTTCATCTTAAACGAGTTCCAAGAGAGACCTTGAAAAATTATTATTATTATTATTATTATCAAATAACTAACAAGGAATTTAAGTATGAATTTCAAATTGATTGGATAGGATCAGTTTAATGTTTTTTTTTTTTTTTTTTTTTAAATTTTATTATTATTATTATTATTTATAATTGTAAGTATTATTTTTATTGATAATAATAATTTAACACAATTAATTATTTATTTAATTAACAAATTCTACATAATGTGATTATTTTTTTTTTATTGTTATTATTTTAATTGAACTCATTTATTTATTTTATTTATGTGTTTATAATAATAATAATAATAATTATTTTTTAATGTTTAAAAGTGTGCGTTTTAAATATTTAATTTAATTTAATTTAATTTGGGGGGGTTTTCTTTTTTTAAAATTTTTTCTGTGGAAAATTCGAGAGCCCCCTTATTGATAATCTCAACCGGTTTTTTTTTTTTTATTATGTGGCACACTTAAATACATTAAAAAATAATTATTATTAATAATGTTTATTTTAATTAATTAATTTATTTAAATTTTATTAATTTCATAAAAAGGTTAATAAGCAATGAATTTAAAAATAAAAAAAATTTTCTGACATTTTTATGTGACTATGAATACAGTAAAATTATTATTATTATTTTTTTTTATTAAAATGGCTTTTAATGGATTTTAATAATAATTTTTCATAATACATAAATTATTTTTTAAAAAAAACATTATGTGAACGCAATTTAGTATGAAAAGGTGACTCAAGGCCAGTTTTTTTTTTATTTAAAATATTCAATTTTATTTAATACGGCCCTGACCCTACTAAATTTTTTTTTTTTTGTTTATTTTTTTATTATAAGAGAATTTTCACATTTTAATGTGTTAAAAAAGATTTTTTAATGATGATAATAATAATATTGAGTATACTTATTATTTTTTAAATAAATAAAATAAATTATTATTAATATACAATATAATACACCATTATTATTATTATAACAAACACAAACATTTTTTTACTGTATTCAATAGTTTTGAGTAAAAAAATTTTTTTTTTTTTCTCTTTATGAAAATAATTTGGCACTTATTACCAATTAATTTTAATCCAATAGATATTTTATGTGTGTGTGTGTGTAAAAATTGCGCAATTTTTTATTTTTTTCTTATCTTATAATTGAATAAAAACTATAGAATTGGTCTTCTTTGTCGACACTTAACGTGACAAAAATAAAAAAAAAAATAAACAATCGCTCTGCGCACATTACAATGTCTATTTTTAATTTTAAATCATTGCTTTGAATTTTTTTTTTTTAAGAAAAGAATTAAGAAAAACTTTTTGCTTTTCTTTGTGTTTGTGTTTGTGTGTTTATAATCATTTATGTAGTTTTTAAAAAAATTAATTTCAGGTTGGATATATTAATGATGTGAAAATAAACAAGAATAAAGAATAAAAAAAAATGGCGATCAGTAAAGAAAAAGTTAAAAATTGTTTAAAAACTTATTCTCTTACCGGATGTACGGTATTGGGTGTCATTGGTGGAATCATTTTAGGTTTTATTTTAAGATCTATTGAAAGAGAAAAATGGTGGACGAAAAGAGAAGTTATGTATGTGCAATTTATCGGTGATGTTTATTTGAGAATGCTCAACGGTTTGGTTTTACCATTCATGGTCAGCTCTATAATAGCCGCTGTTGGATCTTTGGAATTGAAAACTTCTTGGAGAATCGGTGCTAGATGTGCAGCATGGTGAGGTTTTTCAAAAAAAAATAAAAAATTAGCAAAATATTATTATTAATAAAAACTATTCAAGATTTTTTTTAATTTCAGGTTGGTCGTGACACAATTCTTAGCTGTTGTCGAAGGTATTGTTTTTGCTGTTGCCATTCAACCTGGTGAAAAATCATTCGCACAAAGTTTCAAGTCTTTAGATGAGGATAAGAACATCATGGTTATTGATACCATTTTGGATATATTTAGGTGCGTGTGTGCGTGTGAAATTTATATGTGTAATCAAGTTATTACATAACATTTTGTTTTTTTAGAAACATGTATCCTCCAAATATAGTAAAAGCGAGTATTTCGCAATATCGTACAGTTCTTATTCCACCGGAGAATACATCAGCACCATTAAGCGATTGGGCTATTTCACATACCTATCACGACGGTACAAATATTTTAGGTACCATTAATTTTTCTATACTGTTGGCTTTAGCTATTGGAATCATGAGTAGAAGTTCGAAACCCATAATTGAATTTTTCGCCATATTGGAAAAATGTATGACGACGGCGATAGGATGGGCATTGCTGTTAGTTTTAGTTTATTATTATTATTATTATTCTTTCGTCGCGAACAATGTATTATTATTTTTAATAAATTTCCGTTACAGATTTTCACCCATCGGTGTTCTCTTTCTTTTGGCAGCCAAATTAATCGAAACGCAAGATTTATCATCAGTCATCGAACAATTGGGTTTTTATTTCTTGACCGTTTTAATTGGACTCTTCATTCATTCTCTCATTGTTTTACCATGTATTTATTTTGTTTTTGTGAGAAAAAGTCCTTTTACATTTTTGGGTAACATGACTCAAGCATTATTCACAGCCTTTGGAACTGCTTCCAGGTGCTCCCCCCCTTTTTTTTTTTTTTAAATTTTTCTTTTCATTATTCATTATTATGATATTCCAATGATTATTTATTATTTTAGTTCAATCACGATGCCTGTAGCTATGGAATGTCTGGAAAAATTAAATAAAGTAGAAGAAAGAATCGTTAGATTCACAATGCCCATCGGTACCACTTTAAACATGGATGGTACGGCTTTGTACGAAGCTGTTGCCGTTATTTTTTTGGCGCAAGGACGTGATGTTAACCTGGATTTTGGAAATTTAGTTTTGATTTGGTAAAATCCAACAGGATTTTTAAATATCGTTAATTTCGTTTTAAATTAATTAATATGTTTTGATTTTAGCATAACGGTCACGGCTTCATGTTTAGGAGGAGCTGGAATTCCTCAAGCTGGTCTTGTCATAATGATAATGATTTTAACTTCTCTAAATTTGCCGGCCGAAGATGTTAGCATAATAATTGCCATTGATTGGCTTCTGTAAGTGTAAAAATCAACTCATCAGACTAACATAATTGATGGTTTAAATTTATTATCATGATTGTTTTTCAGTGATAGATTTCGTACCACGGTTAACGTAATATCGGATTCTTTTGGTGCTGGAGTTATTGAGCATTTAAGCAAAGCCGAAATTGAAAGATTATCTCGTTATGAACAATATAAACCTGTTGCACAAGAATATGAACTTTCAGAAAGAATGTAATTGAGATTTTTATTTTTTTATTTTTGGATTTATTATTATTATTATTTATTTATTAACCTGCCATTTGAAAGAAAAACGCTTTAAAAAAAATTGAAAAAGTATTTAATTCAAAAACAAAACAAAACAAAATTAGTATTATATTTTATTTTTACTATTTAAAAAAAATTAACCGATTGGTATTTTCTTCAATAAATTTGAGACTTCATTTGATTTTATACAATAATAATATTTTATAAAATAAGTATTATAAAAAAAAAATTTAACATACTGCCAGCTTTTAGTTTTTTTGTATTTTTTTAAACATATTATATTTTTACTTGTATTACAAAATTAATTACTAATATTCTTTGTATAAATCCTTTTTTGTTTATTATTTAAAAAAATTATTGTGGTTTATTTGTATCTAAAAAAAAAATTTCATCCCCTACTGAATAAATTGAGTCAGAATTGTTGCAAACGATAACCCCAAAATCAAAAAATAAAAAAACGTGCAGTTATAAAAACTAGTTAAAATTTTTCCCGATAGAGGTCACTGATTTTAAATAACACATATTTTATTTTTATTTTTATTTTTTTAACATTATATTTATGTATTATGTATGTTTTTTTAATAATTGGATAAATTGTATTTATTTATATTTTACTATTAAATAATTTGTAACGAGTTATAAGTAATAAAAAAATAAAATATTAGGGTCGAATAAAAATCAATTTCCCTGTGAGATACATAAAGAATTTTAACTAGGCGAAAAACGTGGCTAAAGAAATCATACTTACCTGGCGTAGGGGTTACCGTGATCATGAAGGCGGTTCCCCCGGGACGAGGCCTATCCATTGCACTTCGGTTTGGTTGACTCCTGCGAATGCCCCAAATGTGGGCATCTCGGGCGCGTAATTTTTGGTAGTCGGGACTGCGTACGCGCTATCCCGGTTTTTAATTCACATAAACAAAGTTTACCCGATCGTCCCCATTACCTATAGCCCTACTATCCCTACGTATTTGGGATATCGGGTTATACGTATATACCGTGTGCGTACTCCCAAGACCAGGGGGGCCACATTTCCAAAAAAAAAAAAAAATATAAATTTATCGATCGATCGCGAGAGGGCATTTAAATTAAGTTTTTTTTTTTATTTAAATAAAATTTATTTAATTTTTTTTTTTTGTGAGTCAGCTGTTGTGTCGACTACCGGATGAAAGTTATTATTAATTTGCCAGCCTAGGACTGTCCAGAAATAGCACTTATTATTATTATTATTAATACGTGTGTTGTCTGCTGTTTTTTTTTTTTTTTTTAATTTTATTAAGTTGTTTTCTTTTTTTTTTTTTTTTTTATCGTCGTAAAATGAAAATAAAACGAAAAAATCGGGAGTGATATTTTATTAAATAAAATTAATAACAAATCGATGTAAACAATTATTTATTATTATTATTATTTAAATATCGTGTGTAATAAAATAAAATGATGGGGACTCGTGGGCTCCCCAAATAAAAACAACGTGACGTATTTTTATATAAATTTTTCCGGTAGAAATTAATTAATTAAAATAAAATTAAAAATATGAAATTTGAATTTTACGAATTTTAAATTTAAGAAAAAAAAAAAAAATTTTAAGTGATAAATACAGGTGAGTAAACATAACGACAAAAAAAATTTTATTGATTGATAATAATAATAATAATGATAAAAAAATTATAATTAAAAAAAAACATGGACGATCACACGCATGATTTATTTTTTTGTTTTAAACAATAACAACAACAAACTTTAAAATTTATTATTATTATTATTTATTATAACACTTTTGTGACGTAATAAAACAGAAGAAAAAATATTAAAACCGTAACGAATTTTAACACAAAAAAAAAAAAAATTTTACATTGTAGTAGTTTAATAATGCTGTTATTGACATTGGTTTTAAAAATATTTGGCGGGAGATTCAAATTTTTTTTTTTTAATATATTTGAAGGTTAGTCGTGTTGTACTTTTATTATTGCTCTTTTTTTTTATTTACATTCCATCTTTTATAAAATAAATTAAATTCATTGTTTTTAAATAATTTTTATAAAAAAAAACTTATTCATTATTATTATTATTATCATTCTATTTATGTAAATTAAAAAAAAGATAAAAAAATGTTGACTTAATCAAATTATTTAACACCCAGTAATGGCTGAAATCTAATTTTATGCAAAGCAAGCAAGGAGCGCGGCAAAGGGGAAATGGGTCAAATTTATACTTTTTTTTTTTTTTTTTTTAGTTAATCTTTTTTTAAAAATGTTTGCCAACGTTTCTGTTTAAGAAAAAAAAAACAACAAAAAGACCGGAAATTCCGCCATTAATAATAGAAAAAATTAATTTTTTTAGTTAATATATATAAAAATAAAATTAATTTGAATGATTTTTAGGGTTTTTTTTTTTTGTCGTGGAATTTAGAAACTGTGTGACGTCATTGTTAGTTCATTTTGTAAAAACGTTTTAATTAGTTTATGAATGTATAAATTAGAAAAGGTTTTTATTAAAAGAAAATGCATCAATTGTTATTATTAATTAATTTGTTAATAGTTATTATTATTATTATTTAAAAGTGTTTAACGTTTTTAATTATATATATTTATATACGTTTAGAAAAACATGCATCATTCGTATACAAGTGGTAAAGGAGACCCTTTGTGTCCTTTGGGTTTTCATCCACAAGTTCGATGGCCGACAAGATGTAAAAGATGTTTCAGGTATGTGAAAAGAAAATAAAACATTTTTTAATATTACAAATTAATTTATTTTAATTTAAATAATTTTGTTTTTAAAAGAGATTATAAAGAACATGGTGGAAAAGGGAAAACATCTGAAAGTGGTTTGGTTAAAGATGATAAAACAAGATCGACGCCGAGTTTGTCATCTTGGAACACGACAACGACGAGAAATCGTGATTTTGGTAGAACAATTTCAACTGCTTCAATTACTTCTGATGTTAATTCAAAAGATGAAACAGTTTTTAACGGTCAACACAAACCAACAGAATTAAACACAAAGTTTGTACATTTCAAAATGTGATTATTATGTAAACATGTATCAGTGGTTATGTTTAACGTTTTAGTTTTAGCACGAGTCAGTCTTTATCGTCTTCTGCTTGGACGTCGACACCAGATTTAGGAAATATACAAAATGAAGTATCGACAACTGTTTCCGTGACATTACCAAGAAGGAGAAGAAATGTAACGGATAATTTCGACAGTTCGGATGCCACAAATAAACCAACAGAATTTACAATAAGGAGACGAACGTATACGACAGATTTAAGTCAAGTTAATGTTCATGATGATTCCACGACAGTTGGCGATGATAAACATAAAACGTATGAAAATAATTTCTAAAATTTGTCATCATGCTCAAAACTATTTAAAATTTTCAATTTTTTAGAGATTCAGATAAGAAATCAAAAGTAAAATTAACAGATAAACATGAAATAAATAAAGGGACACAAGAAACAAAAATCAGTGGTGGTAAACCTCCTGGAAAGCTAAAAAGGAACACCATCACCACCACCAACAGCAACGGTTATGATTCCAATAGTGAATCCCATGTTAATCCTGATGTTGAATTTATTTTAAGGGTTAAAGCATCAAAACATGAAACTTCAAAAAAGGTTTGAACATAAAAAAATGAAAATTTTTTGGGGAAAAAAAAATGTAAAAAAATAAAATTTTTTTTTTTCAGGAAGGAAATTTGATAAAACAATCTTCTTCGGTATTAATTCCACCTCACACGAGTAGTTCATCAAGTTCATCTGGTCCTGATGAACCTGTTGATGATGAAGATGATGTTGCTAGCATAGCCAATACAGAAACAACAGAAACGACATTAGTAGGAAAAAACGACAGTGAACTTTTGGAAGAGGTTAAAATCAAAACTTATTTTTTCCTAATGAACGAAAATAAAAAAAACTTATCGGAAAATATTTAAATTTACAGATTGAATCGTTAAAAATTGAATTGGAACAAATGAAAACTCGTTGCGAAAAAGTTGAAAGAGAAAAATCAGACATTTTGTTGAGGAGGTTGGCATCTTTTGACACGACATCGACGAAAACGGCTGCTTCTGAGGTAAAAAAAAAACAAAAATATTCATCACAAAAATTTTTTCTCAACAATTGTTATGAAATTTTTTTCAGGTTTTAAAACTACAGCAAAAATTAAACGAACTTTCAAATCAATCAGAAGATTTAAAAGACGACAATAAAAGTTTATCGTTAAGAGTTAAAGAATTAGAAAAAGAATTAGAAGAACAAAAGAATGTTGGTAACGCTGGAAAAAGAGCAGAAGAACTTCAGGTAAATAAAAAAAATGGTTCTTGTGTGTGTTGCCGAAAAAATGGGGAGAAATCATTTTTTTTTTGTTTTAGGCAAAACTAGCAGCTGCGGAAACATTATGCGAAGAACTCATGGACGAAAATGAAGAAATGAAAAAAGAACTTCGAGAACTCGAAGATGAAATTGAAGAAATGCAAGATAATTTTCGAGAAGATCAAGCCGATGAATATTCATCCCTTAAAAAAGAACTCGAACAAAGTACTAAAAATTGCAGGATTTTATCATTCAAATTAAGAAAAGCTGAAAGGAAATCTGAAGAATTGGAAGCTGAAAAACTCCACGCAGAAATGAAATTAAAAGAGGTTGATACATAATTATTATTTTTAAGGCGCTTTTAACGAAAAAAAAAAACAAAAGTAAAATTTGGGTGCATCGAAATTCAGGTTTCAGGTTCGAACGGATTGACAACCATGGATAAAATTAAAAAATTAGAAGGCGAATTGAAAATATCAAATGAATTGTCTACAAGACTGACGAAAGAATTAGAAGAAGCCAATAAAAGACTGAAAAAATTTGAAAATAATCAAAATGTTCAAACCGTTAAAAACAATCTTAAACCTGGAGGAACCGAGGTATGTCATACAAAAATAATAATAATAATAATAATTTCCTTAAATGATTCATTTCCAATAATTATTATTATTATTATTCCGTACCAGAAAGTACCGAGAGCTTCTTTGATGAGAGGAGGATCACAAGAAGATCCACAACAACTTCTTAGAGATTTACAAGATTCTTTAGAGCGTGAAGCTGATTTAAAAGAACAATTAAGATTTGCAGAAGAAGAGGTAAACGCAAAAAAATATTTCATTTACTAACCACGTGACGTAAATTATAAAAACAACAATCATTATTATTATTATTATTATTATTATTATTACATCCAAAAATATTTTTCGTTGCGTCAAGGTATTGAAGTGAGTTTTCTTTCTTTTTTTTTTTGTGACTGGACCACTCGTCTTGTTTTTAATGAAAACAATTTTCCAACATAAATTTGTTTATTTTTTAAAAAAAAAAAAAAAAAAAAGTTTTTATGAAGAGGATCAAAGTTTTTATATAAAAAAAAAAAAAAATGGACTGAAGGTTGACGACTTTTCTTGAAGGTTTTTTTAAAAAAAAAAATCCGGTAAAACGTCCTGAATTAAGTTCCGTAAAAAAAAAAAAAAAAATTTATTTTCTACCTTCCTCGTGTGTATGCGTGTGTGTGTGTGTGTGCGTGCGTGTGCGTGACATAATATGCTCATCTCAACTTTGATTATTAATTATTAAGTAATAAATATTACGTCGTGGGTTTCGTTGCAAATTTTTTTTAATATTTTCGAGGTCGACGAGTCTTTAATAAAAATCTTTTTGTGATTTTCAATTCTTTCTCTGATTTCTGCTTTCTTGTTGAAATTTCACATCACAAACGTTTTTTTTTTTTTTTTTTACAGGCTGCAAACCTTAGAAAAAAAGCAGCACGAGTTGAGGAAGACAATGATTCTTTAGCATTACAACTCAAAAAAATGGCTACTAAAGCCAAATGTACGTTTACCCTAAAACACAGATTGATCTCCCTCTCTCTCTCTCTCTCTCTCTCTCTTTCTCACTCTCGATGACGTTTTAACAGTCTAACAATTTTATAAAATCCTTGTCAGCCATTTTGATTTTTTTATTATTTTATTAAATTACTAACTTTTTTTTTTTTTTTTTTTAATATACTAATAATTAACAGCTGCTGATTTCACGATTATTTTAAATGCGTTTTTGTTTTTTTAGCAGAAGACGTTTTTAATTGTACTTATGTTCACCTAATTGTTTTGTTTTTTTGGGAGGGAGGTCTTGAATTTTATCATCGCCTGTTGAAATATTTGATGACAAAATACAAAAAAACTGTTTGAAACCAGAAATTTTCTCCATTTTTGTGTGTGTGTGTTCGCGTGTAGATTTGTCTGAATTACAAAAACGTTATAAAATTATCATTATTATTTTTTTGTGTAGCTTCTAGAAAAAACAGTCCATCGACGAATACTCGAACTCCTAAACCCGTCATTGAAAAAGACGAAGGGATTTCAGATGAAGAGGATCCAACAGAATTGCGACTACTATTGGATTTAAATGAACAGGTGATGATAACAACAACAACAACAAAAACATAAAACATTTGTTTGTTTGTATGTTTAAATAATGTTATGATTTTTTTTTTAAAAAACCAGGAATCAGCCGTGCTAAGAAAAAAAGTAGAAAAATTAGAAGCGGATTTAGAAGCACAAGAGAAAAAAATGAGAGATTTAGAAGAAAAATTAGCTTCTTGTAAAAAATCCGGAGATGGTTTTAAAAAAACTTCATCCGGAACCGGAAATCTATTCGATAATGATAATTTAAAAGCATCAGAAGAAAAAATTAACGAATTGAAAAAAAAATTATTAGAAAAAGAAAATGAATTGGAAAAAATGAAGAAAAACCAATCATCATCCCCAATAAAAAAACAAATAACAAAAACAAATCAACAATTAATTAAAAGTCAGAAAGTATCAATTTATTATTATTATTATTATTATTATTTGTTTTTTTTAACATTTTAAAATAATAATAATAATAATAATAATAATCATGTGTATATTTTGTTTAGGTCTTTGGATTTATCAACGGATGAAAAAAATTTAGATTTAAAAAAACAATTGGAAATGGTCGAACAGGAAGCCATTGTTTTAAGAACAAAATTAAACGCGCTCGAATCCGATAATGAAAAATTAACGGCCGAAAATAAAAAACTTATTTTATATAAAGGAACTAAAAAATTAACGTCGTCAAATGATGAAAACGTTATTTTAAAATTAGAACAAAAATTAAAAGATTCTGAAAAACAGGTGATTTGGGGTGTAAATTACAAAACTTTCACAAAAAAAAAAAAAAAAAAAAAAATCATGAAATAAAACTCTCTTTAATTTTCTTTTCAGGTCAAAGAATTAAACGAAAAATTACAAGCTATTAATAATAATAATAATAATAATAATAATGAAAACACATCTACTACGATTAATACTTCCGAGACTGATAAATTAAAAAAAGACTTGAAATTAAAAATGGACGAAATCGATAAATTGACAAAAGAAATCAAAAATAAAGATGAGACGTTGAAAAGGTTGAGAGAGGATGGTTTGGCCGAAGCGACAGAATTTTATAAAAATAGAAAACCGAAAAAACCAACGGATCTCACCACGAAAATACAACTTAAAAAAATGATACAAGAATCGGAAAATGATATAAGTTAGTTTTCTAATCATTATTATTATCAATAACAAAATGGGGAGGAAACAAAAAAAAAAACAACTCGGGTGACTACCTAAAATGGCGTCGTGTGATTCAGTTTTTTAAAAAAAAAAATACGTTAAAAGATTTATTGAGTCTGACACTTTGTAGTGGCAGAAGAAAACGTCTAATAAGACAAATATTATTGTCTTGATCGACGTTATGACTGATGAACATTATGATAAATAATAATAATAATAATAAATTGATTACGATGAAATTTATCAAATACTTTTTTGTTGTTGTTGTCGTTGTTTATGTTTGCCGGTTGTTTTATTTTGACGTTTATCATTCATTTTTTTTTTGTAATTTATCATTCGCAGGTGATTTATTAGTATTGGTTAAAAATTATAAATTCCAGACAAAAAATGAAAAATCAAACGAATTGGAAGAAAAGAATAAATTGATTAAAGAATTAAATGATAAAATTGAAGAAATGAAAAACGTTAAAGATGAGGAAATAAAAAAATTAAACGAAAATATAAAAAAATTAAAAAAGGAAAAGGAAGGATTAAAAACGGAAATGAATAATAATTTGAAAGAAGAAAAAGGTAAATTTGATGATTTTGATTAACACGTACGTATGTATGTGGGTGCGGTGTAAACGAATATTTTTTTAAAAATTGATTTCATTTAAAGTTCTAATGCCACGACGATCATTTTTTTATTTTAAGTACATAAACGTTCGTTGAATTAAAATCGGCCTTGATATGTTTTATCCTCCTACTTTCATAGGGCGGCGTTGATTGAATGCCAATTTTTTTTTTTTTTTTTTTTTTGTTCATTCGTGATGTATTTTTAATGTCACCGACATTTTTTTTTGTCCTTCGTCATTAAAATACTTTTTTTTTTTTCAGAAAATTCAATTCTAGCACAAGAAGAAATAAAAATTTTTGCTAAAAAATTAGAAGTTTCGAATAAAGAATTGGAAGAGGAAAGAGAAAACGTTAGAAAATATAAAAAACAATTGGAAAATTTTGATAAACTCGAAAAGGATAAGGGACAATTGGAAAAAGATTTAATTGCCAAGGAAAAAGAAACGACGGAAGTTAAAAATAAATTGACGGAAGTTGAAGAAAAATTAAGGAAAGCGGAAAAAAATTTAACGATCAATCGTAAAAAAGTTTCCAATTTGGAGAAAAACGTTGAAGAAATCGAAGAGATTAAAAATTCGCAAATGAAAAAATGTCAATCGTTGGAATCGGAAATTTTAGATTTGAAAAATTCAAATACTTTTCTCAAAACTAAAATATCTGAACTTGAAGATGAAATAAAAAAAGACAAAACGATAATAAAAGATCTCGTGAGTGTTGATACGATCTGCGTTGATGTAATAAGAAAACCGGAAACGATTCATCTTTTTTTTCTGTCGTAGGAAAATTCGATTCGAGAAGAAAGAGAAAAAGCAACGGATGAATGTTTAAAAGCTGGATCTCTAGAAAAGAAAGAAATAATGGCGCTTAGAGATGATTTATCGAAAAAAACAAAACAATTAGATGAATTAACGCAAAAATTAGAAACATCCGAAAAGGAACGGAAATCCCTCGAAGAAAATATTAAAAAAACGGAAACGAAAGCAACGAAAGACAAAGAAATTTTCGAAAGTAAAATTTCTTCTCTGGAAAAAGACCTCAACGTGAGTTAATTCACATCTGGAATGTATACAAAAAAAAAATTTAAACAATTTATAATAATAATTTATTTTCAGGCGGAAAAAAGAAATGGTGAAAGAATAAAAATTACACACGATAAAGAAGAAAAAAATCGAGAAATGGAATTATCCGCATTAAAATCTAAAATTAAAACATTGGAACAATCGACGAATGTAACGAATAAAAAAATGGCGGATTTAAAAGAAGAATGGACGTTTAAAATTAAGGGTAAAATTATTATTTATTTATTTTTTTTTTTGGAGAATTTTGGAAATGGAATTTAATGTTTTTTTTTTTTTTTTTTAAATAAATAGAATTAGAAAAAGAAGTTTCCGAAGAGAAAAAAAAATACGAAGATTTAACAACGAAATATGAAATATTGGAAGAAGAACATGTCGTTACAAAAGCTCAATTAGTTATGGAAAAAGAACAAGCGCAATCACAAGTCGGTATTAATAAAAAAGACATTGTTAAACTCGAAACGGAATTACAAAATTTACAAGATACTTTACTCAACAGACAAGAAACTTGGATGAAAGAAAAAAAAGAATTGCAGGTAAGAGGTCTGAACCTCTTCCACCAGGTGACCCAGGAGAAATGCTCTTACGCACTAACCTGTTATTCCTGGAGGAAGAAGTGCTCGCAGGAGTAGCCCCAAAATCCAGAACCATCAGGTCCGCACCCGAATCCGTTTCACCCGATTGGGATTCCTTCCTCCCATTCGGTCCAGCCTCCCGCAACTCCACCTCCTTTCCTAATAACTTTTTTTTTTTTTTTTTTTTTTTTTACCGAAAGGAAAATTTTTTTTTTTAGGAAAAAATAAAAGAAAATTCTCAGAAAACATTAGGAAAATGGGAATTGGAAAAATCAAAACTTCAAGCATTAGCAGACGAACAAAAATCATTGGCTGAACAATTACGACAGCAAAATAAATCTGTCGTGGAACAAATGGAACACATGAGAAAAGAAGTCAGTATATATTTTTTTTTTTTTTTTTTAATTTCGATTTAATTATAATAATTATTATTAATTTTTTTTTTTTGGCTGGCGGGGCGGGGGTGGGGATTCTACAGAACGAAGAACTTAGAAAAAAATTAGATGATTTCGACAAGGTGTCAAAAATACATAAGCAAATGTCGGCGGATACGAGTCAATTGGAAATGCAATTAAGAGAAGCGCAAACGAAATTGGCGGTAGAAGAAAAAAATTACAAAACGGATATGGCGGCTTTAAAATTGAGATACGAAAATAGAGTTAATTTAATAAGCGGAGAACTTCAAGCATCTCAAAATCATTTATCGAGATTTAAAAGAGAGAGAGACAACTACAAACACATGCTCGAAGAAGCACAAATGCAAATGGCCAATTTGAAAAAAGGAAGTCAACCGGATGTAACTGGAGAAGTATGAAAAAAAAAAAAAACAAATTTTTCGAATTTTTTAAAAAAATGAAAATTATCATTATTATTATTAAATTTTTTTTTTGTTTAAGTTAAAAGATAGTAAAACGGCTATGGCAGTTTTGGAACAACAAATTTCTTGCATGGAAGATGAATTGACCGAATCGCGACTGGAATGTTCTAAACTCAAAACCGAATTGGTATCAGAAAAATCTGCTTGGGAAGTTAAAATATCAGAATTACAATCGAAAATCAACGAGGTTATTATTATTATTATTATTATTTAATTACTTTACGGTGAATTAAAAAAAATAGAGAAATTAAATTTAAAAAATTCCGATTCACAGCTGGAAGAAGAAAAAATTCTTTCAAGCGGAAGAACAAAAATTGTCGGATTACGTACGAAAATGGAATTGTCGTGGCAGAAGGAAAGAGAAGATCAACAAAGGCTTTTACAGGAAACGTCAGCATTGGCGAGAGATTTGAGACAAACTTTGTACGAAGTGGAAAGAGAAAGGGATAAAGTTAAACTGGAATCGAAAAGGACGCAGGAACAAGTCAAAAGAGCTTCCGAAGAGGAAATGGAAGAAAATCGTAAAAAAATAACCGAAGTAAAATTATCATTATTATTATTATTATTTATTATTTTTCCAGGAACGCGTTTTAAAAAAAAAATTTTTTTTTTCCAGCTTCAATGCGATCTTTTAGAATTACGAGATGCACATGCAAAACTTCGAACGACAAATGAAAAATTAAGAAGAGAAACGGAACGTTGGAACCGGGAAAATAGATCATTGCAAAAATCTAAAATAAAAACGGAAGAAGAAGAGAGAAAAGTTCAACTCCTCCTGGACAACATTGATTTACTATTAAAAGCAACGTTTGAAAAAAAAACAACGGGAAGGTATCTGGAGTCATCGTCGTCATCAAAGAAAAGAGTGAGTTTTGATAAAAATCATTTTTTCTTTTACTCGAATCTTTTTTTTTTTTATCATCTTTCAACCACTTGAATTTTATTCTTGCATTTTTTTTTTAATTATCTTTCATCTTTTTTTTTAAAAATTCTGAGTCATTTTTAGGCTGGTTCAAAGTCCAGGGAATCATCTCCGCTGTCATCAACAACAACAACAACAACAACAGGAGGAAACTTTCCACAAGATGAAATACAATTGATTTTACAAAGGTTGAGTGAAACAGCAGAAGACATACGACTTAAAACACAATCGGATGATAGATTTATGGATGAGAGAAGTAAAAGAGCTTCATCCGTTGGCTACAGAAGGTAAACAAAAAAAAAATTCCAGTCAATTTTTTTTTTTTAATTTTCCGACAGCATTTTTATAATAATTTTCTTTTTTTTTTCCAGCCTGAGAGCGGCATCCACGGAATCCGATTTCGCATCCGAAACATCGACGGTCACAAAAAGGCCGATTAATAAAACATCTAAAAAAAGTAACTTGCACAGGAAATCGTTATCATTATCAGAAACTACCGGACCTGGAGCTCAGGATCAGGTATCATTTAAACTATCAAATTTTTATTTCTCCAGTGAAAAAAGAATCGAATAAAAAATTTTTATTTTGGGTTTTTTTTTTTTTTTTTAGATGATCTGGAGAGAAGATAATGATAACGACGGAAGTCTCACGTCACTGGAAGATCATACCGGATCCCGATATAAAAATATAAATTTTCGGGAAAATTCAATGGATTCCAGGTTGAGCGGGGGTTCGACTCAATCCGAATTCATCGGTGGAGAAAAAAAAAAAAAAAAAAAAGGATTATTTGGAAAATTAAAAAAATTAACGAAAAGCAAAAGCATCGATGACACGACCGGAAGTCACGACGATTTAATGAGGGTAAATATTTATCATCATCATCATCATCGTTATCATTATCATTATCATTATTATTTAACACGTGATTTCAGGGAGGAGAATCCGATTCCGACATGAGTACCGTCGGTGACGTCAAAGGCACAAAGAAACATTTTAAAGAAAAATTTTCCGAAATGTTTAAAAAAGATGCACAGTCTAAAAATTCAACGTAAGATGAACACTTTTTCATATGAATAACATATGGTCAAACGTATTTTTTTTAAAAAAAAAAAAATTGATTTTTTCCAGATCGAAATCGTCGAAGAATTTACAAAGAGCATCGCCGGATCCGACATCGGTAAGTAAATCGTAAAAAAAATTTTTTTTTGGTTTCGATATCTCGAATATTCTCTCGTTTGGCGGAGTTTCGATATTTTGACACTCTAAACATTCTGGAAATGATTTTTTTTTTACTCCTGGATTTTCGAGGTTACATAATTTTTAATAGAATGAGTAAAAGTGAAGGCGGATGTCGCGGAAAAGGAAATTTTAATTAGTTAATAAAAAAAAAAAATCATTTTTTTAAATCTTTGGCCTTGACAAACCAAAACGAGATTTTTTTTTTTTTTTGTTGAGCTCGCATTGGGCAAATAGGCGATTCGTACAAAACAAACAAATCCTTCAACTTGCAAAATAAGAGAGAAAGAGAGAGAGAGAGAGAGAGAAATATGGTAAACTATAAAAGATGTTAAGATAAAAAAAAAAAAATCCAGATTTTAAATTTTTTAATTAGTGTTGTTAACACGGAGGCTCCTTTTCCAGCATCCAGCATCCGCCCCGCCATTCTTACAAAAAATGGTGGGGAGGGGAGGGGATTATTATTATCATTAATGACGTTTTTTTTTTTTTTTTTTTTGTTATTTAACAGAAATCGACGTCTTTAGGAAGACCTTTGGATACGACAACAAGAAATCCTGTTGCGTCGTCTATGATGCACAAACCTTGACACTAATATATTTAATTTCCATTTTTTCTTTTTCTTTTCAATTTCCCCATTTGTTTGAAATTGAGTAAATTCATTCATTCATTCATTCAATCAATCATTCATTCGTTCGTTCGGTGGAAAAGTAATGTGTGTGTAAAATACCAAAATTCTCATCGAGAAACTTTCTGTCGTCGTATTACGTCACGATTTTTTTACGTTATGATGACGTTTGTCTCACCGACAATGACGATTATGTTAATAATAATGATAATGATAATGATAATGATAATGTAAAACAAATAAGTAATATATGTAATGATAATTGTAGTATCTAAACTAGTTTTAGGTTCTTTTTTTGTCGAAAATTTTTTGTAAAAAGGTGAGGTAGGAAGAAGAAAAAGAAGATTGACAAAGAAGGAGGAGGAGGATGGAGGATGATGAAGGAGGAAGATGAAGGAGGAGTAGGAGTGGGATGAAGATGAAGAGGATAAGAAGAAAAAACTAAGGTAAGTATGATTGATGACTAAACATGATAGTTTCATATTCTCGCCTTGAAAAGTCTTTTTAAAAGTTCAACAAGAGTTTAAGATGAATATCTTTTTCCTTTTTTTTTTTTTTTTTTTTTCGAGTAGTAAATAATAGATAGAATATTAAGAAAAAAAAGGAAAACTTTTTTAATGGCACATTAAATTAATTTTCACAATAATAATAATAATAATAATAATAATAATGTTAAAAAAAAAAAGAAAGAAAACCTTTAAAGAACGAACGGGGGGAAGGGAATAATAATAAAAGCGTATCGTTGTCGTGGGAGCAGAAAATTTAAAATCCGTTGATTACGTAATAAACGGTCAAGAGTAATAAATAGGATTTTATAAAAACTAAAAAACTAAAAAAAATAGAACACGATGAGTCGCGTTCGTTTCCGTGTGGGTCCGTCCCACACTATCTCTCTCTCTCTCTCTCTCTCTCTCTCTCATTTTCTGGAAAAGAAAATCCACTTCTGGAATGATTAAACCTTAAACGAATTTATTTAATACTCGGACGATCGATCAAATATTTAAAAAAAAAAAAGGGAAATTATTAATAATAATAATAATTTTCATGCGGTCGTATCGATTTCAATTTATTTTAACGGTTTTTTTTTTTCATAATAATAATAGTAATAATTTATTGCGTAAAAAAAAAAACTATAAATAGACCAGAAATTTTTATTTTTTTTCTTTTCATTATTAAAGTTTTGTAATTGAAAAATTTACAAAATTTTATTACGGGTAATAACTTTTACTTAATTATTAATTATTTAATTAACGAATAAGTTTTTCGTATAAAACGGTAAAAGAAAAAAAAATGGCGGACGATCGACGACGGTTGATTATGACGTCACGTCATGAGTATCGAAAAGAAAAAGAAAAACACGTGACAAATAAATTACGACATATAAATGATCTCACATATCGAAAAACGATGACGTCAAATATGATGATAATGATGATGATGATTTTCCACCGCATCCGGGTACTTTAGGAAAGGGAATGGGGGAGGGAGAAAAAATTTTTTTTAAATTGATCGTGCGTGGGTCGGTGAAAAAAAACGTTACGAAAAAAAAAAAAAAATTTTTTTTCTTTATTAAATAACGACGACGATGATGATGATGATGATAAAAACCGTTGACCTTGAATGTTTTCATATCATTACAAATTGATATATGAACAACGATTTGAAATTCTCTGGAAGGTTTTTGGAGAAAAAAAAACCTAAAAAAAAAGAAAAATGATTCAGAAAAAAAGAAAAAAAAATGGTGGAATGTTTATTTTACGACCTTGACCATTTTCTTTTTTACGTTCCAATCAGAAAAATTTCCCCCCCCCTCCCCCCAATTTTTTTCCCACACGTTTTTTCCCAGTTTTTACCACGACTCATATTAGTTTCCGGTAGAAGGATCTGTTGCACCACCACCACCACAATCACCACTTTAATGGCCACCACCTCCCACGTTGCAAAAACGGTTCGGTCATAAGATAAACGACCTTGGACCACTTTATGCACTTGGAATCACCTACACGCAGCATCCAAGGTTTTTTGTTTTTTTTATCATTACAAAATTTACTCCAGATTCAAAGGGGTCAAAAGGTCACATTTCGAGAGATTTACAATATCGTGATAAACAAAAACAATTTTTTTTTTTGTGTGTGTGTGTGACAAGTCCGTGAACTGGGGAGGCGATGTCACTTTTCATTTAAGACCTTTTCTTCGGATTACATAAATTTTATTAATAATAATAATAATAATAATAATAATAATAATAATAATAATTTTTTTATTGTTTGTTATTTCACGAGGAGTTTGTTTGAATCATAATTTCGGCCATATTGAAAAAAATTTTTTTTTGATGCAATTCAATGTTTTTTTGTGCTTAAAAATTTATTACGTAATAAATTTGGTTTTTTTTGCGGTTATTTGTTTAACAAAAACAGTCAAAATTTAAAAAAATTTTGTAACGGATGAAAAGAGGGGAAAAACGTATTGAACGTGGCAAAAGAAAAGGTTCGCGGTGGTGGTGGTACCAACCGTCCGTTAGTTTATTATCATTTTTTTTTTTTTTTGATCGCGTCGTCGTGTCACTAATTTTTCTCAAACATCATCATCATTTCGCGCCTTTCTAAAAAACTTAACGTTTCCGGTTTTTCTAGTACCACGTTAATTAACAATTTCATTAATCCCCATTAAAATTTTTTCTTTTTTATTCATTCTGCCATCGAACTCGCGTAATTTTTTTTTTTTGTTTATAAATCAAAGGACTTTTAAAAAAATATCAAATCAATCAATCATTCATTCATTCCATTTTCGCATCTCTCTTCGAAAAAAAAATTAAATTCTCTCCAACAATGATGGAGAGGAAAAAATTTCTTCATCGTTCTAATCCCACTTTTTTTTTTTTTTACTTAAAACTACACAGAAAAAAATTTAATCGAATTCTTTTTTTTTTTTTTTTTATTTAATATATATAGATTATCATCATCATCATCATTATCATTATCATCGTAATAATAATAATAATAATAATAATAATGATAATAATTTAAAAATTTAACGAAATAAGTTTTGTTGAAATAGTTGTAATGAGGTTAGATTGTATCTTTTTTTTTTCTTTTTTTTTTTCTTTTTTTTTTTATTACAAAACAATAAAAAGTAGTTAAAAAAATTCATACAAAAAAAAAAAAAAAAACGCTTCCATAATTACGTAATTAAAATTACCCATGCTCAATTGTAATGATAATAATGATAATAATAATGATAATGATAAATTTATGTGTGTAAATTGTGGGTAGAGTAAAATTTTTACGGTTTCGCATTAGGGGCATTTTAACGACAAAAAAAAAAAAAAACGGATTTAGATTTTTTATTAAAAAAGATTTTGTCGTGGGTAATGTTTAATTTAATTCCCCGTTTTTTTTTTTTTTTTTTTTTTTAAAAATGACATAATAATTTTTTTTTTGAAATTTTTTGTTTAAAAATAAAAGAAAATGATGATAATGATGATGATATAAATCGATTTAAATTCGTAAATTTAAAAAAAAAAAAAAAACGTGGAAGAAGAAAATGAAGGAAAAGGAGAAAAAAAATGGCAATGAATGAAAATTTTGGCAGATTAATAGGAATTTCGATTTATCGTATCGAAATTTTCATTTTAAAAAAATTTGGCTAACGTTATTAATAATAATAATAATAGTTATTAACGGTTACGTTTTCGGTTTATAAAGTTTTTAAATAAAAAAAAAAAAAAATGATAACGGTTTTTAATATATATACATGTAATGCGCATGCGTATTAACTGGCACGCGTATTTTAGAAAGTGAGGGAAAACCTTCGGTTAATTTTAACTAAACCAGTAGGTACTTGTATTTTGTTGCGGTTGCGTCGTCGCGCGGGTACTCGTCGTCGTCGTCGTCGTCGTCGTCCTCGTCATTATTGTTTTTTTTTTTTTTTTTTTTCTCCTTGTCTCACCCTTTTAAATTCGAATTTATTTTATCTTTTTTCCTCTCTCTCTCTCTCTCTCTCTCTCCTTTTCTCTCCCTCTATCTATCTCTCTTTAACTCATCGAAATCCAAAAAAAAAATTAAAGTGAAAAAGTGCGTTGATTTTTGTCGTTGGTGTTACATATATATCTGTCTCTCTCTCTCTCTCACTCGCTGGAGGATATGCTTATAACTGGATAAGTTATATACATAAACATTTCACTGGATTATTAATTGCACTCACGGACATAATAATAATAATAAATAAATTTAAGGTAAGTGCATAAAAAAAATGAAAAAATCCGTTCCCGGAAAAGGTAAAAAGGTTTTCTTTATTTTTTTTTTTACACGTTCGAATGAGCATTATGTTTACTCTGGTTTTCTGGTACCACGTTTATTACGTCATAACCCAAAACACTTGAATTTAAAAAAAAAAAAAAAAAAAAAACGCCACTAATTGGTAGTTTATTGGTTTTTTTTTTTTTTTATGATGTAACACATGTTAAAAAAAAAATTTTCTATCACACTACATAATGATGATAATGATGATGATGATAATAATAATACTTATACCGCTCGATAATTAATTTTTAAAAGGAATCGTAAAAGAAAAAATTAATTTTTATTTCCATGCGGTTTTCCATTAAATAATAATAATAATAGTAAAGGTCAACCCCGTAATTTTTTTTTTTTTTTTTTTTAATTTCCAGACAGGAACTTGAGGGAGGGGAAAGGGATCAAAGGGATGTAGAAGGGAGGAAATGAGGGAGGGGAAGAGGGAAGAGAACCCGGGGGAAAAAAACTGTTATTATTATTATTATTATTATTATTATTATTATTATTTCCGATTTTGTTCGTTGTCAATTTTTTTCTTATTCGAAAAATGTACTACGATCGTCGTTTGTTTTTTTTCCAGTAGTTTGTTTGCTTGTTTGTTTGTTTGTTGATTTCAAACATTCTAATTTGCATTTTTTAAAAATCCAGGACAAATTTTATTATTAT